CCCTGCCGCTGGGGCTTTCGGCGGACCTCGCTATGTGGCCACGAAACGTGTGCGGGGTGTGCCGAATCGGGTGACGGTACGCCATGCGGACCCTGCCGCTGGGGCCTTCTTTGGAGCTCCCTATGGGGCCACGAATCGTGTGAGGGGTGTGCCGAACCAGGTGCGGGTGAGCCATACGAACCCTGCCGATGTGGTCTTGGGTGGAGCTCCCTAGGTACGCTATTCGGACTCTGCCGCTGGGGCCTTCGGTGGAGCTCCCTATGGGGCCACGAAGCATGTGAGGGGTGTGCTGAATCGGGTGCGAATATGCCATGCGGACCCTGCCGTTGGGGCCATCGGTGGAGCTCGTTCGGGGCCACCAAGCGTGTGAGCGGTGTGCTGAACCGGGTGCGGGTATGCCATGCGGACCCTGCCGTTGGGGCCATCGGTGGAGCTCGTTCGGGGTCACGAAACGTGTGAGGAGCGTGCCGAATCGGACGTGGGCACGCAAGGCGGACCCTGCCGCTAGGGCCTTCGGTGGAGCTCCCTATGGGGCCACAAAACGTGTGAGGAGTGTGCCGAATCGGGTGCTAGCACGCGATGGGGACCCTGCTGTTGGGGCCTTCGGTGGAGCTCCCTCTATGGGGCCACGAAACGCGTGAGGGGTGTGCTGAATCAGGTGCGGGTACGCCATGCGGACCCTGCAGCTGGGGCGTTTGAGCCCTCTAGAACCACGAAGCGTGTGAGGGGTGTGCCGAATCGGGCGTGTACGCCATCCGGACCCTGTCGCTGGGGCCTTCGGTGGAGCTCCTTATGGGACCACGAAACGTGTGAGGAGTGTGCCGAATCGGGCGCGGGTACGCATGATGGCGATGAGATGAGGGCATAGAAGTACGAAGGGGAGGAGGACCAGAAGAGAAGAACGCAGGGCGCCGTCTCTTCAAAACGAGGACCCAACACCACAGGATGGTTGAGAAAAACGGGACGAAATCCAAACCTCCGGGGGGTCCATACGGCAAGAGAAGGACGTCGGAGGCCTGAGTTTTCAAGGGGCCTCCAGGGGCCTCCGGGAAACATCAGGGACCTCCAGGGACCTGAGGCGACCTTCAAAGGACGTTGGGCGTCGTCGCCGCCGTCATCGCCGCCGCCGCCCTCGTCGCCCTGGTCGTCGTCATCGTCGTCGTCATCGTGATCGTCGTCGTCGTCGTCGGCCGTGAGTCGGCAGTCGTCGGTAGTCGATCGTCGAAATCGGATCGGATCGGCTGCGCCAGGACACACAACAAAGCCATGCAAACATCAGGCCGCATCTTATCGCCCGAATGTCGAAAACGGATCGGATCCAGGCGGCCGGGATCGATATCGAAGCGGATCGGTCGGATCGAAATGGACCCTGCGAGGGGGACGCGGAACGCGGTAGGCAGGGCACGAGGGGTGCACCTGTTGCTACAGGACCGGCTTACGAATGAGGCCCAACTACAAGCGCGCGCGAGCGCTCGGCAGTCGTCGGCGACGAGACGCGAAGACCGAGAACCACGGATCCTCCTCGAGGCCCGAGGCTTTTGCATATTTCTGGGCGACCTTGCCGCCGCAGGGGGCAAGAAGGATAGCAACCCAAGTCCTTGAATGTGTGAAGCACTCAACGGGCCCAATAATCTCGGGCCCAAACCGGGAATGTGCGAAGGGGGGCGGCGCCCCTCGTCAATATGGGTTCGTCCAGATACCCCTTTCAAGAGGCACTGTCCCCGAGCTCCCTTCCTTATCTGAACGACCAGTTTGTTGAACAAGAAAATCGAAGAACGCCACCAGGAAGAAATCGGCATAAACACAAAGGCGGGCTCGGACCCCAGCGAAAGCTGACGAGCAACAGGGCAAATGCCACTCGGCAATTCGGCCAACGACTTCTGGCCGGACGGCGGGCAACTCTCGGGGACCCACGCCTCGGAGCTGCACGACGGGCGCCAGCAGAACGACGCCGAGCGCGACGGGACCAGCAGCACACCGCGGGGGGGCGTTGTGTCTTCAGATCTGACGTTGCCAAAAAAAACACCAGCCTTCTGGGCGCAGTGTGGTCTAGACAGGTTCATATTCCAACAACCTTTATCCCCTTCGGGGGGGTTCACCCCTCCCCCCACCCCCTCCCCTGGACCTGGACGGGGCGCCTCGCGAGTGGGTGGGAACCCCCCTCCCCTGGACCTGGACCTGGACCGTCTCCGCTGGACCTGGTGGGGATACTCTTTGGTCCGCGGGCGCACGAAACGAGTCGGACGCCGAACAATCAGGGCTGCGTTTGCAACCAGCAAGACCAAAAACAGGACGAGAACAAAGCCAGGGGTGGGACGAAGCACTCAGTGCGGCACGACGACGAGAAACACGGCGAGCGGAGGAGGTATTACAGAGGTACCGCCCAGCCCGCGAAGTTGCCGCCTGCGGAGAGCGTGACGAAGGCGAAGAGCACGCAGCCCGGGAGCAAGAGCCAGCCTTGCCGAACTGGAAGAGCTAGCACCACGAGCGGGAAGGGAACGCAGCGAAAATGGCGCGAGAGAGACAAGGCCCCCTGGCGGCCGAAGTGTGCAGGTAGCGCAGGTAGACGAGCCACTAGCCGACCATGCAGGGCACCGCGCACCAAGCCACACGTGGAGAGCAGGTCGTCCGAGAAGACGCAGACGGCACCAGGGGACTGGATAGACACGAACAAATTGTATCGCACTGGCAGGACAACAGGCCAACCGACATGACCAGCGCCGAGCGCCCCGCGCGCACGAAGCTGGAGACTGAGGACGACCGGCCCGCGAGCGTCGTGCAAGTGAGCGCCGCCCATCAGGTAGCCCGACGGTGGAGCGGCGGGTGGCCATGATGAGGCCGGCGCCCGCAGGTGCACGCCAAGGAAACCGTGACGCCTTGGGCGAAGGGGGCTACTGGCAAGAATGGCGCACGTTAGTCCGCCGAGCCCAACCGACGTGAACCGAACGACTGACGATGCCCGGGGGAGCTGGTGCCGCACCAGCCGGACCATATTCACAAGAGGTGGGGATTGTTGATCGCGAGCGACGCAAGCAGCTGCGCGCCGTCACAATAGTCAGACGACAGGTCAACCTAACAGGACAGGCGGGAAAGGGCCACAACGGTGGCGAGAACGACGCGGCGGAGGAGAAACGAACGAGAGCACACAGAGGGCGAGGCGACGAAGAGCAAGAGGGCCAAAGAGCAAGGACCAGCGAAAACGAGGGCGCACAGGAAAAAGGAGAACGAGAGGCGAAAAGAGACACGGTAGAGAAGACGGGCGCGCCAGAGATCTGGCTCAGGCGACGTCGAGGACGAAGCTCCTTGCCGAGGAGCCGGGACTTGAAGTGGAGCGACATGTCAGCCGAGTCGCAAATGAAGAGGTGGGGATTGAAAGGGGCCCCAGGACACACAAATAAAAGCACACAAATAAGAGGATTCTCCACATGTTCCAATATCTTCTGGGTTTTTGTCTTCCCCCCCACTTCCCATATGTTCTGGGGGATCGACGATTAATTGTGTCTGTGTGTCACTCTCCCTCCTGAGGGATACTTTTGGTCGGCGGCCGCTCGACAACGGTCTGGCGGCAACAGGCGATGTCCAGGACGGCGACACAAAGCTAATTGCACACAAAGCGTGCGGTGCACGTGCACTGAGCAAAATGCTCCACATTCACAAGCAGTCGCACCTAGGCGCCGCCCAATAAACCAAAGTGTACAAGCGGCCACGAGTGCGAGTGCAACGGAGTGAGTCGCCCTTGCGGCGCCATGCTCCGAGCAGCTTCCCAGGCAAACAACGCTGCACGAGCCAGGGTGACACGCTGCTGGCGGTGGAAAACAAGGGCCGTCGGCGCTGATGGCTGAACCACTCAGCGCGCAGCCATCAAACTCCACCGCAGAGTTGGGGGGGCCGGCGGCAACCGACGGGCGAGTCGGCACCGGCGGAAAAGGCCCGGGGAGGGGCGACGATGCGAAAAACGCGCTTCTGAGGGATGTTTTTTTTTGGTCGGCGGCCGCGCGACAACGGTTTGGCGGCGACATGCGATGTCCGGGACGGCGGAACAAAGCGAATTGCACACGAAGCGTGCGGTGCACGTGCACTGAGCAAAATGCTCCACATTCGCAAGCAGTCGCACCTAGGCGCCGCCCACTCCAAGAACAAGCGGCCAAGAGTGCGAGTGTCCTGAGGGATACGCGAAGCGTCAAGATTTGCGATCTGTGAGGGCCCCGAGGACCGAAGCAGGGCAAAATCTCACGCTGGTAAGACGAAGCCAGGACGAGGACTAAATCACGTGAGGATAAACCGGGAATCTCTGCGCTCCGGCGGCTCTGGAGGATGTCTCGGGCGCCGCGGCCTTCTCAGAGCGTTCCGGAACGCTCTGGAACGGATTTATCCTCGTCCTAGCCCCGTCGGAGTTGTGAAGGAAAAAATGCCACACCAAGACCTGGAGGGTGGAGCTGGCCGGCACCAACGGGCTCGGCGCCCGGCGCGCGGCGAGGGCCTTCGCATTGCGACTCTCCTGGTGGCGACGGGAGGAAAGCGCGCCCCTCGCGGCGCTCGGACCGTGCCCGCCCACCCCAGGGCCAGAGGAGGAGGACGAGGAGGAGGACGAGCGCGGGGAGGAGCAGTGGGGTAGGGGAGGGGGGGGGAAGGCTTCCTAGGAGGAGGCTGCTCCTCAGAAGGCGCCGGCCTCGCATCCACAGACAAGGGGTGCTTCCAAGAGGCCCTCCCCCCTCCCCCCCCCCCCGCCCCCCCTCTGCGTGCGGCCGAGCCTGGAGGGCGGAGCCGGTCGGCACCAGGGGGCTCGGCGCCTCTGGCACGCGGCGGGGGCCTCCGCATGTTGCGAGTCTGCCGGTGGCGACGGGAGGAGGGCGCGCCCCTCGCGGCGCTCGGGCGCCCCCTCTCGCGACGCTCGGGCCATGCCCCCCTCCCAGGGCAAGAGGAGGAGGAGGAGGAGGAGGAGGAGGAGGAGCCTCCCTTTTCTGTCTGGCGTAGCCCGCGTGCGCGGCGAGGGCCGGGTCCTCGTGGTCCGTGTCCTCGTGCAGGTGGTCGTAGTCTTCCAAGATGACCTCTTCGGGCGCGGCGGCTGGGGCGGACCTCCGCCGCCCTTTTCTCCAGGGCCGCCCGTTTACCGTGGCGACCACTACAGGTGGACAGGTGGCGACGAGAAGAAGAAGAAGACGAAGAATAATCAAGAAGAAGCAGAAGGCGAATCAGAAGAAGAAGGCCCCGATACCGAGAGCCAGGAGAGGAGGTCAACCGATGTCCAACGCCACCGAAAGCCAGATGCGCCGCCGGCTGCGAGGCCAAGAGGATGCCCCCCTCCCTGAGGAGCAGCGTCAGGGGGGACCGGCACAGGGGGGGAAACATCGAGCTGGAATCGGTGACACATCGCCGACAAGTCGGCGATGGGCCCCCGACTGCGAAACCGCACGCTCTTGGGCGGGGGCGGACTGCCAGGCCCACATCGGCGATCCATGGGTGATTGGGGGTCGACGCATCCCCCCTCAGCTTTCGGTGGCAGCTCATGGGAGCCTCCCGTACCATCTTGTCGGCCCCTGCGAATCGACGCTGACCAACGCTGGCCGACGCTAATCGACGCTAAATCGACGCTACATCGACGCTAAATCGACGCTAGTCGACGCTGACCGACGCTAAATCGGCGCTATCTCATCGACTCCCAAACGCTAATCGACGCCAATCGACGCTAAAGACTCAATCGGGCTCCCATGATTAGCTACCGAGTTAGCCTATCCCAACGTTGCCCCCAGGCTTTCGGGTCATACCTCGGCTCTCCAGCGGCCGTTCGGGACAATTCGAGCACCCCCAAGACGCCCTGGGCGAGGCACAGCTGCTGGAGAGCATCTCGAGGCTGGAAAGCCGCCGAGGACTGCCGAGAACGTCCGAAGACCTCGAACCTCGAACCTCGCCCATATGAGCGATCCATGGGCGATTGAGGGCTGATGCCTCACACCTGACGTTGCCCCTGAAGATGCGGGGCGCCAGCCGCGAGGACGAGGATGCCACTTACGGGGGCCCCGGGGAGGCAGGCAAGAAACGGCACCAGTTCCAGGATTCCTCCGTGTGTCTTCCGCATGTCCTGGCTGTCCCCCTTTCCCTCCACCTCCATCGGGAGCGACGAAGAGAAGCGGGCCTTGCGCGAGGTGGCACAGCGACCCTGCGCAGTTGCCCACGCGGGCCGCCAGCGCGGCACACTGCGCTGGAGACGAGGGCGCCTGCGTGCGACCTTACGCGGGCAGCATGCGCGCCAGCGTCGGCGAAGTCGGCCCCGCTCTCTCTCGTCGCTCACGTGTGTGCGCACGTCCCCGTGGAAGTCCCGAGTCCTTGGTGCCTGCGTCTAGTCTTCCCTCCCGAGCCCCGGTCTCCCGAGGAGAGCCCTGGTCTCCCGAGGGGTCGCCCTGAGTCCTTGGTGCCTGCGTCGAGTCTTCCCTCCCGAGCCCCGGTCTCCCGAGGAGGGCCTTGCTCTGCCGCGGCAGCTGCTGGCAAGGCGCCGCCTCCGAGCGGCACGCCTCCACGAAGAGCAACCGGAACTCCTCGGGGCGCCCCGAGCGCCGCAGACCCGCCCCTCGCCCGCTGTCGGCAGGGCCTCGGGCAGCTTCGCGTCGTGACGGCGTGTGCGTTGGTCGTCTGACGGGGGGGAAGAAGACCCTGCATAAACTAAAACATTTGACGATCCCCGCGGATTTCTTGGATCTGAGCTGGGCCCCCCTCCCTGGCGTGCGGACAACCAGGGGCGGCGCCGGAGGCACCGTCAGGGAGTCCCAGCGCAGATCCAAAAAATCCGCGCGGACCGCCAAAAGGTTATGTGTATGCCACTTTGTTCTTCGACTCACTTCACGTGAGCGGCGGCTCCCTGGTGGGGACATAAGGCTGCGCGGGTCAGGATTGCTGCTCCCTGCTGCAATTCCAATTTCAGGTATTCAATCTTATAGTCCTACTTTTAGGTCGGGCATGTCCTCCTACAGGCGGATTTGGGCAGAAAAATTCTAAAAAAAATGTCAAAAAGATAATCGGAAATAGTCGAAGGTAATAGAAAAAGCGTTCCCTGACATGTTTTACAAGTTTCGAATACTCCTCCTGTAGAGGGACATGTCCGACTTAATCCTACTTTCTACTTCCTGCTGTAAATGGTTGATGCCTGCGCGAGGGGAGGAGCCCCAAACCGTCCTGAGCAGCGTCCCCGAATCGGGCTCTCAGACTCCACGGGGTTCGTGGGGGATCGCTGGGACACGTGAAAACACATCATATTCGCGCCCCCGAGGCCACGATCCCCAGCAAATTGCACTAGAATCGTGTCACCGAGGCGACGATCCCCAATAAGTTCCAAAATGTTCGCGCCCCCGAGACCATGATCCCTCGCAGATTACACTTTTTTTCGCGTCTCCGAGGGCACGGACCCTTGTCAATTACTTTCTATTCGCGTCTCCGAAAACACGAATCCATCCAAAGAATACCATATTCGCGCTCAAGAGGTCACGATCCTTTTTGTAACTTACCAGATTTCGCGCCACAGAGGTCACGACCCTTCCCAAAAGTAAAACCAGATTCGCGTCCCCGAGACAACGATCTTGCCCAACTAAACCATATTCGTGCCCCCGTGGCCACAATATTCGCGTCAGGCCACGATGCCTCGTAAAGTATTCCATATTCGCGTCCCCGAGGCCACGATCCCTCGTTAATTGCACCGTAGTCGCGACTCCGATGTATCTTTGGTAAACTATGCAATAGTCGCGCCCCCGAGACCACGGATCCTCACAAATTTCGCTAAATGAACGAAGGATTAACGATTCTGCATTGGGATATGTGATCGGGGAACGCTGTTCGGTCCCCTCCCCGCCGCCTCTTGATTCGGCGATGGGCCCGCAGCCACGAATCCTAAAAATAGCGACGGTCGGAAGGAACCACAAAACAATCCCAATCGCGATATTTGCCCAAGATGGCCTCACGCAATCCACCGTCATACCAAGGCAACGCTCTAGTAAAGGCAATAAAGCGTTCCATATCAACCCCAACATCCCAATACAATCTATGCTGCTGATTCCTTGCCGTCCTCGCATGACGCTCCAAGACGTCTTAAAGACAACGCCCAAACATCACAACACAGCTCTGAAATATCCCATTATGATAGAGAGGGGGCCGACGGCAGAGAGCGAAGCCCTTGTGGGCAAACGGGTCTTCCGCGAGATGGCACAGCGATCGTACGCGGCGGCTTACGCGGGCCGCCAGCGCGGAAGGCTACGCTGGAGACGAGGGCGCTTACGCGCGACCTTACGCGGGCAGCTTACGCGCCATTGTCGCCGCAGACGACCCCATCTCCTTCTGCCGCATACGTCTCGGGGCGCACAGCGCCGCACCCCGCCGCACCGGTCTCTCATCCCGGCCCGTCCGTTGACGGGCCCCCAGGGGCCCAGTAGATGGAGGCCCACCTCCAGAGGGCAAAAGCAAATGAAGAGAGACGCTCCTCCGCCCGATCAATTTGTTTGTGGCGAGGGGTATTACTTCGGACCCGCCGTCATGGGTTCTTCGAGACATTAGTGGTCTTGGGGACGACGGGGACCAGCAACACGACGACGACGACGACGACGACGACGACGACGACGACGACGGCGACGACGACGACGAGCCTGCGGCGGCGCCGTAGTCTCGGAGGTCTTCGGACGGTGATATGACATGTTCCAGCCACCGTGGCCTGTCGGAGCTCGAAGGGCTGAACCCGGGATCCCAGTACAGATTCCGAGCCAAATCTAATCAGACGACGACGACGACGACGACGCCGACGCCGACGCCGACGCCGACGCCGACGCCGACGCCGACGACGATGACGACGCCGACGACGATGACGACACCGACGACGACACCGACGACGACGACGACGACGACGACGACGACGACGACGACGACGGCGACGGCGACGACGACGCCGCCGCCGCGGCCGACGACGACGACGACGCCGCAGCCGCCGCCGCCGCCACGCCGCCGCCGCGCTCCTGCATGCCGTCCACACGGGCGGCGCGCTCGGCGTCGGACTTGACCTTGTGGAGACCGTCGAGTTGGACGTTTTTGAAAGAGGCCTGCGGGTCGGCGGGCCCCCTCGGGCTCGTTTATATTGCCGCTGCGACTCGATCCAAAAGCGTGGGGGGGGACTGCGTGGGGGCAGGAGAGCCCAGAATCGAATCGAGAAGTCGGACCAGCGGCAATCGAAACGAAGCGGACCGGCGGTAATGGTCAGCCAGGTCGGGAGAAGTCGAATCGGTGGAGATCGGCAGGCTGGTAAAGCCTCCACCGAGAGACCGAAATTCAAATCGGAATCCAGATCGAACCGAATCGGACTCGGAATCGCTCGGAGCCCTGCATGGGACTCGGAATCGATCGGAATCGAAATCCAGATCGGACTCGAATCTAACCGAAATCCAGATCGGAATCCGAAATCGAACTAGATCGGACTCGGAATCGAAGTGGAATCGAAGCGAGCCGAGTCGAAGGAGTCGAAAGGATCCCTGCAGCGGGGGTGCACGCGTGGGCTGTCCTTCGCGGAGCGGTGGGGGTGTTGGATCATTTGAGGCGGTGGGGTCGGTGGGCGTGGGGGGGGCCGGAACGGGCCGTCGGGCGGAGTTCGAAGAAGAAAAAACGCCATAAACTTAAACTGTTGGCCGGGGAGCGCCAAAACTTTATCTGTATGGCGCTGCTTCTTCGCCGAGGAGGGGCAAGGGCAACTGGGTGGCAATGTCCGAACCCTACCCCAACCAGCCATCGATTCTCCTGAATCGATGAGAGGCCGGGGTCGGGTTCGGACTTCGCCACGTGCTCGACGGATTCGTAACCCTACTCCCGCCGCCCATCGAGTTGCCTTCGGCCTTCGGCGAGGGTGGGGTTCGGATTGCGCCGCTGAATGGGGCGGGGGCTTGTTGAACCATCTTGGGCAACTGCCTGCGAGAACGCCCGCTTCCGGTGCCGCCCCCCCGCTACTGGGGCCGCACCCCCCTCGGCTACTCCCCCATCCCCCCGTGATAACACCACGCCCCTCCCCCGCCCTTTTCCCCCTCCCCCTCCCTGGATACCCCCCCTTTCGGACAAGGACACGCTCGGCCAGGCGAAACCCGGCCAGGCGAAACCTGGCCAGGCTGAACTCGACCAACTGAACTCGGCCAGGTTGAACTCGGCCCAGGCCGAATTCAGCTTGGCCGAGTGCAGCCTGGGCGAGATCAGCTGGCCGGGTTCAGCTGGCCGAACTCCGCCTGGCGGAGCTTGTCCTGGTCGCGTTTAGTTGCTGCGATCCGCCCCTCCCCCCGTGGCAACGCACGCCCGGCGCCGCCGCCGCCCCTCCCCCCGCCCCACCCTCTGAGACGAAGCCATGACTGGGACAACCTCGGCGATCCTGGGGACTCCTGAAATCTGGAGGCTCTGGAAGATGTAGCGGGCGCCGCGGCCCTTCCAGAGCGCCCTGAACGCTCTGGAAGCGTTCATAGCTCTGAAACGATTTACCGTCGGCCTGCATCATCAGGACGCAAGACAATGATCCAAGGGCCTTAGAAGGCCATTTCGAAGCTTCTCGAGCAGGGCGCGGTCAACGTAAGTGGCCATGGATGGACCGAGGAGGCAAGGATGCAAGGCTACCCTTGGGAAGGTTGCCCATCCTTACTATGCGGGCTGACTGTATCCCGTTCCTGGGCCAGCATCACGCATGGCGCTGGCGCGCCGTCCCCGAATAGCCAGGGGAAGCCGACGTTCCGGAACGGCGCCCGCCAGCGCTCAATCGCGGCACTGCCAGCGCCCCTTGCCCCCTTGCCCCCCCCCCGGCAGCGCCCGTTGTCGACAGAGACGGAACAAAAAAGACTCCACGACCTCCGACGTCGTGATTGTTCACAGCTTGAGCCCCCTAAAGGTCTGGACCTCCCCCCCCAGACCAGTTCTTCATCCTGAGTCGTTATGTGAGAGCCCAAGCTTGGCAAAAACCGCTCGTCGCCCACGACACCAGGTCCCCCTGCTCCTCCCAAGGATCGCTGGCGCAAGGGCCTCCAGGGGCCGCAGGCTGGCGAAAACGTCCCGATGCGGCCGCTGCACGACGCGAGGACGTCTAGGGATATCAAGAGCGCCTGACCTTCGCGCTTCGCGCTGCGCGAAGCGCGAGAGCGCGAACAACTTCGCGCCCTCGCGCCGCCCCCCAGGGGAGGAGGATGAGGAGGGGTCGGAGCCAAAGCGCGAAGCGCGCGGGCGCGAACAACTTCGCGCCCTCGAGGGCGCCCTTGAGATATCGTCCCCCACCTGGCTGCAGGCCACGAAGCTGCCACTGTGCTCCCTGGACCGCTCCCGGCGTGCACCACCCCCCTCGCCCACTCTCCAGAGGCGCTGCGCGTCGGGCCTGCGGGAGGGCGACGGGGAGCCCCCCCCCGAAGGCCAGAAATGACCCACAGGAGGATGAGCCTCCTCCTCCTCCTCCTCCTCCTCCTCCTCCTCCTCTTCCTCCTCCTCCTGGGCCTCGGGGAAAAAAGCACATGCACGAAAAAACACAGCAAAACAAAAAAAAACTGTGTTCCGCGAACCTCCAAAGCATCGCACCCACGACGACCACGACGACGATGACGACGACGACGACGACGACAGACGAGCGACGAGCGACGAGCGACGAGCGACAAGCGACGAGCGACGAGGGACGAGCGACGAGGGACGAGCGACGAGCTACGAGCAACGAGCGACGAGAGACGAGCTACGTGCGACGACGACGACGATCACGACGTCGACGGGCGACGACGACCACCACGACCGACGACCGACGACTACTGGCGGCGAAGGTGGCAGCGGGATGCCGTGAGCACCGAGGAGCCGTCACCGTCGCCCAGCTCGCCGTCGCCCGCCTCGGACCAAATGACGTCGCTCCTCCAGGGTGCCGGCGCCTGTGGGCTCGCCGTCGTTTTCTGCCCCACCGTGCCCTGCCGCACCGTCTCTGCGTCCGACATCTATCTCCTCCACTCTCCCTGCACACCCTGATTACTCCCCCTTGTCCCATTTCCTCCTTTTCCTCCTTTTCCTCCTTTTCCTCCTTTTCCTCCTTTTCCTTCTCTTCCTCCTCCTCCTCCTCCTCCTCCTCCTCCTCCTTTTCCTTTTCCTCCTCCTCCTCCTCCTCCTCGTCCTCCTCCTCCTCCTCCTCATCCTCCTCCTTTCCTCCTCTCATGAATGTTCTTATTGATACGATTTTCTTTTGTACCATAAGTATTAGCATTAATAATGGTACCCTGCTGATTATTAGCATTACTAGTATTAGTACTAAGACTACGATTGCTATAAATGTGGTTACTAGTATTAGCTTCATTGTTATAAGTATGATGAGTCTTCTCATAATTGCTATGTGGGTAGCGGTGTTGCATCTATAATATTATCAGCAATCGTATTAGCATGAGTGTTCATATGGTTATTACTCGCATTTCTCTCATGGCTCTCATTATTATTAACTAGTATTAGTAGTAGTAGTAGTAGTAGTAGCAGCAGTAGTAGTAGTAGTAGTAGTAGTAGTAGTAGTATTCAATTTCGTTCTCTGATGTTTCGTCGATTAGTACTAGGATTATCCGTAGTATTAGTATTGTGTGTACTATTCTTCTTGCTTTTCATAAAACCAATCTTATAATTTTATGATGTAATATGATTCGTCGTGTTCTTCTTCTCGGTATTTTAATATGAGTACTAGTCGTGCTCTTCGTATTCGCTTTCTTGTTATTATTATTCGCAGTAGCATAAGTATTCGTTTTGTGAGTACGCATGAATGTGCTGTATGGTTAGCCGTGTTCTTGTTACTAGCATGCTTGCTGTCAGGCATGAATGATTATACCATTACTGGTATCACTATGCGTAACAATATCGTTATGAATCCTCCTCCTCCTCCTCCTCGCCCTCCTCATCATCAGCCTCCTCGCCCTATATGTTTCTCCTGCCCCTGTGACTGTCCCTGCCCGAATCATTGCTCCTCCTCCTCCTCCTGCTGCCCCTCCGCCTCCTCCGTAGCCACTTTGGCTCAAGATGCTGAGTTCCCCTCGGGACCACACGGATATCGCTAGTCCGCGGCCAGTGCCAGGGCGCTTGCGCCCGACGCCCTCGTTGCCAGCACCTCAGGGGCCCACTGGCGGCCAATCCTTCGTTCTGGGAAGAAGCGCACTCCTCGGCGGATCGGCCCACCGCCGAAGTCGGAGCTCCCCACCGTCAGTCAATGGCGCCGAAGGCTGCTCCTGGCTACGTCATCTGCACGGCGCGCCGCTACCGGTGGACCATCCGAGGGAACGAGGCGCCCACCCCTCTCCCAGACAGTCGCCTCGCGGTGCCTGGGCCAAGGGGGCGGACGACGCCAGGAAGCCAAGGCGCAAGGGAGGCAAGCTGGTACTTGACAAAGGCAGAGCAAGGGCAAGGGCGACAAGGCTGGCAAAAGTGAATATGGAGGTGGTGCTGCCGCCGCTGTCGACACCAGCCAGTACCAGCCAAGCCCCCCAAGGATCCACGGACGAGAGAGGCCACTCCGCCCACCAGCGAGATCGAGACGCTCGTCGCCGCGCCCACCCCCAGGGTGGCCGAGGCCCTGCGCGCTGCCCTGGAGGCGGCCCGCAAGCGCGAGGCCCAGGCGCCTGCGAGGGCTCCGCGCACCACGGCGCAGCGCCTCTAGTCGGCGGTGGGCCGCCGCCAGCATGCCCAGAACGCGCTGGACAACGCGGCCTGGACCGTCGCGGAGATGGAGCGGACCCTCGACGAGGCCCAGGCACGGCGGGGCGAGAAGGCGCTCGCCCTCGCGGAGGCGCAGCTGGAGGAGGCCGCCCTGCGTCAGCGGACCTCGGGACGGGGGGCCCAGCAGGAGGTCAGGACACGCAGGCCCTCTTCGACTTCAGCCTCCCCGATGGCCTCGAGAAGCTCAAAGAGGAGGCCCGGGACAGCCTCCACGAAGTGGCCACCACGGGCAAGAAGATCGCGGAGGAGAGCGGCCAACTACAAGGCCAATTGCCGTGCCAAGCTCGAGCGCATCGCCAAGCGGGTCGAGGAGGTAAAAGCCGCCAAGAAGCATAAGGTCGCCAGCGGCAGCGGGAAAGGAGAAGGCCTTCCCGCTCCAGGCGCTGGACCGACCTCCTCGGACCTGGAGAAGGAGGCGCGGCTGCGGACCCACAGCCCGCGGCGACAGTGGGGGGGGGTCTCCCACGGCACGGCCAACCCCGCGGAACCCACCCCCTCCCAGGAAGAGCGGAACACCGAGCACCCTGCCGCGGAGCTCGCTGCAGTGGCCACCCAGGCAGCCAAGGCAGGCCTCCAGGGGATTGCCGCTGCCAACGAGGCCAAGGACGGCAAGGACGCGGGCGCTGCCGCCGGCTCATCGGAGCCTGCTGATTCACCTCGCGGCGCTGGCTCCGCGGGTGAGCCCCGCGTTTAGCATCACGGACGGCGTGAACCACGTGGGGGAGCTGGCAGGGGGCTGCGAGAGTGCACCTGTCCCCCTCATCTGCCTGGACGAGGACGGCGGAGGCCCCTTCGCAGACCTTGACCAGGACCCAGACCTACACCAGGAACTCACTGCGCAGCCAGCCGACACTACTGAGCCCGGCGACGCGGCACCACCTGCGCGGGGCAACCAGCCCCGCAGCCAATGGGGGCGCGGAAATCAGCGCGGGTGGATGCCAGCATGGACGGGCGCCTCAGCTCTCTTCTCGGCGCCCACAAATGAAGACGACACAGGAGAGGCGCAGACAGCGCAAAGAAGGACAAGAGGGCACTTTCTTTTTCGCCAACATCACCGCGCACGGGCCTCAGGCGGCGAAGTTCGTCGGCGAGCAAGGCCGCAACTCTAAGATGCTTGGCTTCGTCGAGACACGCAGCACCGCCAGCCAGCTGACGCAGCATCAGGCCGCCCCGAGCAAGGACGGCCGGAAGGTCGCGGGCACCCCCGCCATGGCCACTGGGAAATCCCACAGCGGCACAACGGGCGGGGCGACGCGGCTCGCGAACAAGACGGTCGCGGCCACCACCTTCGGGCCCACCGCATGCAGCACCTCGCGGCCACGAGCAAGGAGCTCCTCCTGGGGTTCTGCCCGTGCGCGCTGCACCTCAAGAAGGGCAACGCCATCGTGGTCATCGACTACTTGCAGCCAGGACGCAAGTTCAATGGCGCCGACATGGCCCGAGGCCACCATGCGAACCCTGCCGCTGGCGCCTTCGGTGGAGCTCCCTATGGGGCCACGATCCTCGTGAAGGGTGTGCCGAAATGGCCCGAGGCCGCCATGCGCACTTTGCTACTGGCGCCTTCGGTGGAGCTCATATGGTGCCACGATCCTCGTGATGGGGTGTGCCGAAATGGCCCGAAGCCACCATGCGCACTTTGCTACTGGCGCCTTCGGTGGAGCCGAAATCCCGAGGCCTCCATATGGGGGTGGAACTCCTATAGGGCCACGATCCTCGTGATGGGGTGTGCCGAAATGGCCCGAGGCCGCCATGCGCACTTTGCTACTGGCGCCTTCGGTGGAGCTCCTATGGGGCCACGGTCCTCGTGAGGGGTGTGCCGAAATGGCCCGAGGCCGCCATGCGCACTTTGCTACTGGCGCCTTCGGTGGAGCTCATATGGGGCCACGACCCTCGCGAGGGGTGTGCCGAAATGGCCCGAAGCCGCCATGCGCACTTGGCTACTGGCGCCTTCTGTGGAGCTCCTACGGGGCCACGATCCTCATGAGGGGTGTGCCGAAATGGCCCGAGGCCGCCACGCGCACTTTGCAACTGGCGCCTTCGGTGGAGCTTATATGTGGCCACGATCCTCGTGAGGGGTGTGCCGAAATGGCACGAGGCCGCCAAGCGCACTTTGCTACTGGCGCCTTCGGTGGATATGGTGCCCTGGCGCCTTCGGTGGAGCTCCTATGGGGCCACGATCCTCGTGAGGGCGATGATGATGATGATGATGACGACGACGATGATGATGATGATGATGACGAGGAGGAGGAGGAGGAGGAGAATGATGAAGATGATGATGATGATGATGATGATGATGATGATGATGATGATGATGATGATGATGATGATGATGATGATGATGGCGATGATGCGAGGAGGAGGGAGGGGGCAGCGGGAGGAGGAAGGAACGCGGGGCGCTGTCTCTTCAAAACGAGGACCCAACCAACCATATGCAGTTGTGAATACCGCAATTGTGAATATCATATTCGCCCGCGCTCCCTGTGTGGCCACGGCTCCCCGCTGGAGCCCGACATGCTCAGGAACGCGTTCGTGGCCGTCTTCGCGGGCGCCGACGACGACAAGGACGACGCCCCTCTGACCGAGGAGCAAAAGCAGGAGAGGGCTTTGAGAGCCATGAGGGAGGAGGTGCCGGTGCATGTCGAGAAGGTGGAGTACGACGCCCAAGCGCGGTTGTTGAAGCAGCACAACTATGGGGCCACGATCCTCGTGCGGGGTGTGCCGAAATCGCCCGGGACCGCCGTGGGAACCCTGCCACTGGCGGCCTTCGGTGGAGCTCCCTATGGGGCAACGATCCTCGTGAGGGGTGTGCCGAAATGGCCCGAGGCCGCCGTGCGAACCCTGCCACTGGGGGCCTTCGGTGGAACTCCCTATGAAGGCACGATCCTCGTGAGGGGTGTGCCAAAATGGCCCGAGGCCGCCATGCGAACCCTGCCACTGGCGCCCTCGGTCAAGCTCCCTATGCGGCCACGATCCTCGCGAGGGGTGTGCCGAAATGGCCCGAGGCCGCCGTGCGAACCCTGCCGCTGGCGCATTCGGTGGAGCTCCCGATGGGGGCACCATCCTCGTGAGGGGTGTGCCGAAAAGACCCGAGGCCGCCACGCGCACTTTGCTACTGGCGCCTTCGGTGGAGCTCCCTATGGGGCCACGATCCTCGTGAGGGGTGTGCCGAAATGGCCCGAGGCCTCCATGCGC